TATCTTGCATGTTTTATGAATCTATTCACATCTAAATGCAGAACTTTTTTTTGCACTGAGACATTTGTTTTTATACTAAAATATCTGAATTACTTTGAATAAAGCTGGAAATTATGTCCCTTAAAATAATTAAACAAATAAGGCACCAATGTTTTTGTAAGATATTTACATCTTTTGAGAACATTCGGTAGACTGATTCCCCACTGTTGGTTCAACCCCAAAACTTGTTTGTATTCAAAATTAATTATGACAATGCATATTTATATTGAAACAAACTATGATAAAGGGAATTATATTATATAACAAAGGGCAAGGTCACCAGAGTTCAACTATGTTAATATCTCAGTTACCACTTATCAGATTATACATGTATCATAGGTGCTGTGGTATTAAAGCACAGATAAACAATCAAATTTATTCTTTCAGTTTTCTGTCAATATTAGAAATTTCAATACTGCAGGTCAGATTGCTTTATATCATTATGCATCTCAATGAGTAGTCTTGTGTATGACTTTTAAATTGCATAAACTGATTACAGAATTTTGGTGAGCACGGCTGTAGTTATTTGATTGTAGCTAGAAAACAAATGTAGATAAAGAAAAAAACAAGAAGCTATTTTCTCCACTACAGCATTAAAATCATTACATGCTAGTCACAGGTCATCCGTGTGATGAAAAGTTTCAAAAATATTGTTTTATAGTTAAAATATTCAAGAAATCATAATATTGAAATTGGTTAATTCCCTAGACAAACATTGGTACACCATTAGTACTACCATATCTAAGAGTTGTTATAGTAACATTCTTAGTAACTTTCAGATTAATTTTAATTTTGACCTCATTTTACCCATGTTGCTACCCTAACATGGATCCTGGGTTCTTTACACTAATATTCGATTTTGTTAAGATGTAAAACCAAATGTATTGCATTGTTCATGTGTGTACTTGTAACACTTGAAAAGTTATCTTTTGATGCTAACATGTTGCTATTATAATGGTAATAAAAGAAATATTAGTTTCAAAATTTCATTTTAACATATTTTTTTTTTTCTGTTTAGAATTCATTAAAATCAAATCTGTACCTTGCGATGCCTTCTACATCAAGTCACAAATTGACCGAGTGGCAGAAATTGATGGGGAACTCAGCATTAGAAAAGATAATATACTATTTGTTGATGACACTATGTTTAAGGGAATTTTAGGTGTATGGAGAGCATGGACTGTTGATTCTGTTGGTCACAAACGAGAATGCGGACAACTTCCAAGCAAATTCATGTAAGCCTAGAATCTTGCTGCAGTTTCACCCTGAGGAGTTTTTTTGTTTGTAAATGTAAATTTCATGATTCCCTAAGTTATTTGAAAAAAGGTTGCATTCCAAGGTCTGCAGTCACCTTTCAATAGTTTGTTGGTACTGAAATCCTGTTATTGTAAACAGTGTCTTTTATGTGGTATCATGTAATTATGGGAAACTCCCTGAATGGTGTGTTAAAACTGACCAATGAAAGGAGAGCATTTGACTCCTTATGTTTCTGGTTTTTGTTCAGCTCATATTCATAATGTTATGTACCGGTACTATGGGTGTACATGTATTATAATATTTCTGAGACACCTCAAAAGATGCATTTATTCTATGTCATTGCTATACAGTATCAGACAATAGAGCATTTCTCTGTTGCTTCCCATCAGCCTTGAATCTGTCAAACATTTTGCAGTTGAATTTAGTAATGAAAAATCATGTAACAACATGGGTTTGTGACATAAAAATAAAATCATATTAAAATACATTCATATATTAAAATTTCAGAAACAAAAGTGATGTTTGACATACTTATTTCAAAGATTGTAATTGATCAAGAATTGTTTAATGTAGAAACATTCTAATGCATTATCGTCTTTGTAGTCATGACAACAATATCTTGTCATCTCCAGGTTGGAACAAGAAATCATGAGAAAGCGTAGCATCAACGATGGACTAGCTGAGGATGAACTACGGAATGCTTCCTCAAGAAGGGGATCTGCGTCAGCAAGGAGAAGTTTCTTTCGAAGAAAAAAACACCAGAGAAATAATTCAAAAGACAGTCGGGAGTTGAGTTCTGTGGATGGTACTAGCGGTGATAGTGTGCCTATCCAAGAAGGTCAGATATTCTCAACTTCAATCAAATTCAGTGATTAATTTGGTATTATTTTGCTACTGAAATTATATACCATTTTTACATCTTAACTAAATATTGCATTTATTATACCGGTATGTTGGATTTTGACCATAGACACGCCTCCGCCATGTGCAAATATACTGTTTGTTTTACAACCTCTCAACATTTTGGTTTTTGCAGATTTCATAATACCTACATATCAACGAGTTGAAAGGCTTGATTGTAAGTAAATCTATTGAATGAATAGAAAGCGTTCTTTTTTATGTATAAATATTATTATAAATTCCTGTGTTGTTGAACATCCATGCGGACAGTGTATCGACTGAAAAGTGTGTTCAATGTTGAGCTATCAGTCATTCTATTGGAACATATTTTTAGACAACCTGTTGTCTCGATTCACTTCATTGATTAGTCAAGTTGTTTGATTTCACAGTCACATTATACTGACTGAATGTCTGTGTAATTGATTTCTTTTTATGGATACACACAATTGACTGTACTCATTACATTTTGACTAGTTTGCTGTCTTTGATTCACTCATTACATTTTGACTAGTTTGCTGTCTTTGATTCACTCATTACATTTTGACTAGTTTTCTGTCTTTGATTCACTCATTACATTTTGACTAGTTTGTGTCTTTGATTCACTCATTACATTTTGACTAGTTTGTTGTCTTTGATTCACTCATTACATTTTGACTAGTTTGCTGTCTTTGATTCACTCATTACATTTTGACTAGTTTGCTGTCTTTGATTCACTCATTGCATTGGCTTGTTACATTGATAGCACACATCAATACATTGAACTAACTTATTACATTAATTTAATTTATTGACTTGCTACATCGAAATCATTTGTTACATTAATAGTACTCATTCACTTTATCAATGCATTGTACTAAATCATTGATTCAGTCATTACATGACTTACTACATTGATCCCACTTATTGACTTTACAAGTATATTATACTAACTCATTGATCCATTCATTATGTCTTGCTACATTGATAACCACTTATACACTTCACTAATACATTGCACTAACTCACTAATTCATTCATTACATGACTTAAATCATTGATAACCACTTATTCATTTTACCAATGCATTATACTAACTCATTGATCCATTCATTACACGACTTGCTACATAGATAACCACTTACTCACTTTACCAATACATTGTACTAACTCATTGATTCATTCATTACATGGCTTGCTGGCTCATGTATTTTAGATAAAGTGAAACGTCCAGTTCTGCTTATTGGAGCCTTTGTGGATCCTGTAATAGAAAAATTGGTATTGGAATCACCGAATAAATTCTGCCGTTGCATCCCAGGTGAGTTACGAGTTCTATAAAAGGTGATTTTTTTATCGTTTTTTCTGGTAGCTAACTATGATCAAAAACAAATAATTTGCAGTGAAATAAAAAAATAATAATTATTGTTGTCACATAAATCATCAGTATCTACATGTGTTGTGTATATACCATATACTGTGGAATACTTTATTTTCGCTGGAATTAATTTTCGCTGAAAAAGCTTTTTGGGCGTTTTGCTTGGAATTTATTTTCACTGATTTTTGATGAGATTAATGTAAAATATAGGAAA